TATATATATATATATATATATATATATATATATATAACATATATAAGATAATATATACATATATATATGTTAAGATGCATGCATTTAAACAAAGATAAGCGTTTGTATTTATTTATTTTGCTTCTTCTTTTAATCTCTATGCATGCATGCGCTCGTAGTTTATAGCAGAGACAGCCCCAGATGAAAAATATATCTTTGCTGTCTCTTGCCTCCTTCCTGTTGATGCAGCTGCACGATCACATGCACCCCACATGCTGCTGTTGCTGCTGCTGCTGGAGGTGCTGCTGCTGCTGCTGCTACTAAAAAACACCCTGCTGCTGCAGTACGCTGGAGGAGGCGCCCCAAGCGCTTGCGTTGCTGCAAGGCTCCAATCGTGCTGCTGCTGCTGCTGTTGCTGCTGCTGCTGCTGTTGCTGCTGCTGTTGCTGCTGTTGTTGTTGCTGCTGGTGCTGCTGGTGCTGCTGCTGCGCTTGGGGGTACGCTGGATACTGCGCAGCGACAGGCCCGTGAAGCAGCAAAACACCCTGCTGCTGCTGGAGCTGCTGTTGCTGCTGCTGCTGGAGCTGCTGCTGCAGCTGGTGCTGTTGCTGCTGGAGCTGCTGCTGCTGCTGGACCTGCTGCTGATGATGCTGCTGGATCTGCTGCTGCTGCGTATTGTCGAGCTGCTGCAGCAGTTGATCAGCTGCAGCAGCATTTGTAGAGGGCCCTAATAGTAGCCCATGTGGAGAGTGCTGCAGCTGCTGCTGCAGCTGCTGCTGCTGCTGCTGCTGCAGCTGGAGCTGCTGCTGCTGCTGCAGCTGGAGCTCAGGTTGCTGCCCAAAATGGTGGTGTGAATGGTAATGATGCTGCTGCAGCTCTTGCTGCTGCAGCTGTTGGTTTCGCAGCTCTTGCTGCTGCAGCTGTGGCTGCTGCAGCTGTTGCGGCTGCAGCGCTTGATGTTGTAACTCCTGCTGCTGCATCCCTTGTTGCTGTTGCTGTTGCTGCTGCAGCTGTTGCTGCTGCTGTTGCTGCTGCTGCAGCTCTTGCTGCTGCTGCAGGCCTTGCTGCTGCAGCTCTTGCTGCTGCAGCTCTTGCTGCTGTTGCTGGTGCTGCTGCAGCTCTTGTTGCTGTTGCTGGTGCTGCTGCAGGTCGTGCTGCACTTCGGCTTCCATGGGATACACAGGGCTGGAGCAGGTTTGCTGCTGCTGCTGCTGCTGCTGCTGCTGCTGCTGCTGTGTGAAGCTGTCGGAGGGAGCGTCTTCAATCGTGCTAGAGGTAAGTTCCTGCTGCTGCTGCTGCTGCTGGTGCTGCTGCTGCTTTTGCTGTTGCTGCTGCTTGCTGCTGACAACGACAAACAATCGAGAGAGTTGCAGCAAAAGCTGCTGCGTCTCCGCAGCACTTAGCGGAGGAGACAGAGGCTGCATGCAGCCCCACAGCTGCTGCAGCAGATCTGCTGCCTTCGCATGCTGCACCAACTCTTCCTGCTGCTGCTGCTGCTGCTTCTGCTGCTGCGGCTGCACCTGCGCCTGCTGCTGCTGCTGCTGCATCCGTGCACGGGCTTCGCCTGCTGCAGTTTCTGCTGCCCCCTCAGCTTCTGTTGCAGTGGCTGACCCCTCCTGCTGGTGCTGCAGCAGCTGCTCATGCTGCTGCAGCTGCTCATGCGGCTGCTGCTGCTGCTGCTGCGCTTCTTCAGTGCAGCTCAAGAGCCTCTGAACGAGGGAATCCATGTTGCTGCTGTCAACGCTGCGTCCGGTGTCTCCGCCTTCTTGCTGCTGCTGCTGCTGCTGCTGCTGCTCATGCTGCTGCTGCTGCTGCTGCTGCAAGTTTGGTTGCTGCTGCTGCTGCTGCTCTTCAAGGCGATGTCTTAAAGAAGTAATGCCGGGGAGCAGCAGCTGCTGGCTTGAGCTATCTGCAGCAGTATCTGCTGCTGCTGCTGCTGCAGTTGCATCTGTTGCCCCTGCATCTGCTGCATTTGCTGCTGCTCCTCCTCCTCCTCCTGAATCTGCTGCTGCTGCTGCTGTAGAGAGGCTGCAGCAAAACTCTTCATTATGAGGAGTCGGCAGGTACCCTCGAGCAATAGGGACCCCGAACTCATCTGCTGCTGCTGCTGTTGCTGTTGCTGCTGCTGCTGCTGCTGGAGGTGATGAAGGTCCTGCATCCATTTGGGTGTACATACACCCCAAAGGGCCGACGGAAATCTGCTGCTGCACCTGCGTATGCATGTGGGGCTGCTGCTGCAGGAGCTGCTGTTGCAGGAGCTGCTGTTGCTGCTGTTGCTGCTGCTGCTGCTGTTGCTGTTGTTGCTGCTGGTGGCGGTTATGTAATACCATGTGTTCTTTCGGTAGCAGCGGCAGCAGCTGCTGCGAGTGCAGCTGTAGTTGCTGCTGCTGCTGCTGCTGCTGCAGCTGCTGCTGCTTCTGCCGCAGCTGGTCTCCACGCCAGTAGCTCGACTCAGCAGCAGCAGCAGAAAAGCTGCTGCTGTCTTGTCTCCTTTTGCTGCTCAATTCACGTACCAGAGAATCTAACTCCCGCTTCACCTGCAGCAGCAGCAGCAGCAGCAGCAACAGCAGCAGCAGCAGCAGCAGCAGATGGAGCAAAGCCGATACTAGCAGCAGAAGTAGTACTAGCAGCAGCAGCACAACTAGCAGCAGCAAAGGCCGCACTAGCAGCAGCAGCAGCTGCTGCTAATGCTGCTGCTGCTCAGTGCTTTGTGCGTCGTGGAGGGCAACAAAGGAGACGCGCAGACAGCAGCAGCAGCGCAACAGCAGCAGCAGCAGCAGCAAAAAAAAAGATATAACAGCAACAGCAGCAAAGAGAGAATCATACACAAACAAAGACACAGTACATCAACAGGAGACAAATAAATAAATAAATAAATATAAATAAATAAATATAAATAAATAAATAAATAAAATAAATAAATAAATGAAGGAGACAGTTGAATAAACACAAGAGACATGAAACTAAAGAGGAGGAGACAGGAAAGCAGCCAAATCGGCAATTAAATAAATAAAAAGACTTAAATAAAAACAAATAAACAAACAAACAAATAAATAAATAAATAAATAAAATATGTACCCCGAGAGAAGGAGGACAAATCCTCTTTGCTCGAATTACTCTGTCTCCGATTTTTGCCGGCTTCGGTTTGTCTCTAAAAATATGCGAATAGCAATTAATAATAGATTGTACTAAGGGCTCATACACCTGAACAATAAACAAATTAATAAATAAATAAATAAATAAATAAATAAATAAATAAATAAATATATTTGTTTATTTGTTTATGTGGGGAGACAGGAGAAGAGACAGAGAAAGGAGACAGAAAAAAAAACGAAAGAGAGAGACTAAATAAAATAAATAAATAAATAAATATAAATAAATAAATAAATAAATAAATCTAAATAAATAAATATAATAAATAAATATAAATAAATAAATTAAATAAATAAATAAATAAATAAAATAAATAAATATAAATAAATAAATAAAATAAATAAATGAAGAGACAGAAATAAAAGGAGACAGATAAATGAAGAACAATAAAAAGGATGTTAGAGAATAATATATATATTTAAAATATATTAAATAAAATAATTAATAAACATTAAAAGATATAAATAAATAAAAACAAAGAGAGACAGAAATAAAGACAGAGAAAACTAAAAAAATAATCAGAGAGATAAGACAGAGACAAATAAATAAATAAAAAGACAAAGAGAGACACTGCGTCAGAGACAGATATATATATATATATATTTATATTTATATATATATTTATATTTATATATTTATATATATATATGCATATGTATATATATATATATATATATATATATATAAGACAAATAAAGAGACAAACAAAGATAAAGAAAGATAAAAAGAGAGACAAAGAGAGATAAAGAGACAGATAAAGAGACAGATAAAGAGACAGATAAAGAGACAGATAAAGAGACGGCTAAAGAGACAGATAAAGAGACAGATAAAGAGACAGATAAAGAGACAGATAAAGAGACAGAACAACAAACGAAACAACAAAACAAATAAAATAAGAACAACAAACAGCAACAAAACAAAGAAAGAAGTAGAGAAGAGCTTCACCATAGCTGCAGGAAGAGGATTTGTATTAATACGATCGTCGATAAAGTCAAAAGGTATATCGTCAAGCGACTCTGCGATTGAAGTAATGTCTGCAAAGAAAGGGGCGCAAACTCTCTCAATAGGGCTGCTCGATATACACCTCAAGCTGCCCCCTACACGATAACTCCGCTGCTGCTGATGATGATGATGATGCTGCTGCTGTTGCTGCTGTTTTTGCTGCTGTTTTTGCTGCTGATGGGGATGATTTTGATTATCTGCAGCAGAAGGTAACGGTAAAGCAATCTGCAGCAATCCAGCTTCTTGTTCTTGATGCTGCTGCACCTGCTGCTGCTGCTGTTGCTGCTGCTGCTGCTGCTGCTGCTGCTGGTCCTCAGGCTGCAGCAAACTCCAAATGTCTAAGAGACCTTCGTCGCGACTGTCGCCCTCCCAGCCTGTAGCAGCAGCAGCAGCAGCAGAAGCAGAAGGAGCAGCAGCAGCAGGTGCGGAAGGTACGGTATCACTGCTGCTGCTGCACTCCTGCTGCTGCTGCTGCTGCTGCTGCTGCCCTGAGCTGTCGGTGTTGCATTCGACTGAGCCCAGTATAAAGGGGTCATTGTGCTGCTGCTGCTGCTGCTTTTGCTGTTGCCTTCTAAGATCATTATCCGTAGCCCCAGAAGCCTCTGCTGCTGCTGCTGCATGTGTTGCTGCTGCTGCTGCTGCAGCCGTTGCTGCTGTTGGGTCTGCTGTGTTAACATTCTCCGCGCAGCAGTCATCTTGCAGCATCAGCAGCTTCTTTTTCTGCTGCTGCTGCTGCTGCTGCTGCGGTGGGTATGCCTCTGCCTCAGTGGAGACAGTGCTATAGGACGGAGTGCCGCTGTTGCTGCAGCAGCAGCTGCTGCTGATGCTGCTGCCGCAGCTGCACTGCGGGTGCGTCAGAAGATCAGCAAAGCTCCCTTCAAGTGTTTGCTGCTGCTGCTGTTGCTGCTGCTGTTGAGTGCAACTGCTGCTAGCAGCAAGTGCTGCTGCTGCCCCTTCGCAAGACAGTCGCGGCATAACACGGTTGCTGCTGCTGCTGCTGCCGCTGCTGCTGCTACTGCTGCTGCTGCTGCTCTTGGTTGCCCATAGGCGTTGAGTAGCAGCTTGCTGCTGCTGGATCTCGTATTCATCGAGCTCTGCAGCAGCGGTAGCAGCACTACTAGCAGCACTACTAGCAGCAGCAGCAGCAGCAGCAGCAGCAGCAGCAGCAGCATTGGGGCCCCTGCGAAGCCTTTTTAGTCGTTTTTGCAGAGATGTCACATCTCGCTGCAGTCCCTGCTTTAAAGCAAACAGCAGCATGGCTTCCGCGCTGCAGCTGCAGCCGCTGCTGCTGCTGCTGCTGCTGTTGCTGCTGCTGCTGCTGTTGCTGCTGCAGTGGTGCTGCAGCAGCAGCTCATCTTCTTCTGGAGTGAAGGGCCGAGCGAGAGACAGCCGCCATTGAGATAAGGGATTGCGAATGTCCTGAAGACAAACAGAAGCAACACATCTGCTGCTGCTGCTGCTGATGCTGCTGCTGCTGCTGATGCTACTGCTACTGACGTCGCTAGTCATGTTGATCCCTAGCCAGGTAGCTAGCTAGCTATCTAGCTAGCTACCTACCTAGGTATCTCGGCAGCTAGATACCTAGCTAGCTAGCCATGCAGCGCGATAGTTAGCTAGCTAGCTAGCTAGCTAGCTAGCTAACTGAGAATCTAGGTAGCTAGCTAGCTAGCTAGCTGAGTATCTAGGTAGCTAAGTAGCTAGCTAGCTAGCAAGGTAGCTACCTAGGTAGGTGGCTAGCTAGGTAGCTGGGTAGCTAGCTAAGATTATAGGTAGCTAGCTAAGACTATAGGCAGCTAGCTAGCTATCTAGCTAGCTAGCTAGATAGCTAGCTAGCTAGCTAGCTATCTAGCTAGCTATCTAGCTAGCTAGCTAAAAGTATAGGTAGCTAACCTTAGCAGCTTGCCAGCGTCTTTGAAGGGCTTTAAATCTCCTGAGGATGTGCAGCGTTGACTTGGAAGGAAGCAAATACTGCCGAATAAAAAAAATATGCTTGCGGCCGCACAGCAGCAAACCCAAAGCCAGCAGTCTGTCTTCTGCTGCTGTAAATATTTTGTTGAGCCTGCAGCAGCAATTTATCAAACATATATATATATATATATATATACATATATATATATATAGATATATATAAATAGATATATAAATATATATATATATGTATATGTATATATATATGAGACAAAGAGATAAGCAAAGAAAGAAACAAACAAAGACAGAGACAAACAGACGAAGACAAAGAGAGACAAACAAAGACAAAGAGAGACAAAGAGAGACAAAGAGAGACACGGTAAAAGCAACAAACAGAGAAGACAAATAAATATATAAAATACAGCAAACGGCAGCAACAGCAGTAGCAGCAGTAGCAGCAGCAGCAGCAGTATCAGCAACAGCAGTATCAGCAACAGCAGTATCAGCAGCAGCAGCAGGAGTATCAGCAGCAGCAACAGCAGCAAAAGGAGACCCCCAGCAGCACTCCGCTGCTGATGGAGTGGTGCTTACCTGTCTGTTGCTGCTGCTGCTGCTGCTGCTGCTGCTGCAGCAGCAGTGTCTGTTAAAAGAAAGAAAGGATCTACAAAAGGAAGCTGCAGCCGCAAAAATTCTAAGAGCGGTTCTGCTGCTGAGCTGTCTCCTCCGCTGCAGCAGCAAAAGGAGACACAGCTGTATATATACGCATATATATAGATATACATCTACATATATATATATATATATTTATATTTATATTTATTTATTTACATTTGTATATATATATATAT